GTGTGTGTGTGTGTGTGTGTATACATATATACAAAATCCAGAAATGCTCTGAATCATGGAGTGATTCTCTTAAAGGAGATTTCTAAAGGGAATATATTTCATGATTGTCTAGTCATCAACAGGAATAAGAATAAATTTAAATGTTAAAGAAAATGAAAGTAAAGTCAGTTGGACATTAATTACTATTCCTATGATTACCAGAATGTCAAATGATTTTTCACTCTGATTCACTCAGGTCCAAGCAAAAATTAAATCTTGGCTTTGGCTAAATTCTACAACTCCAGGTAAATTAAATGAATTTTTTAAAGTGCTAATGAATCATGTCTGAACAGGCCCAACTAGAGAGCTCAAGAACAGGTACAGTATTGTTTTTAGAAGATCAGAGGAAAAAGAGCAAAGGAAAGAAAAATAAATGCATAAAATAAAAAAGGTGCATCTAATTAATGAAGATAAAAACAAAAGAAAGTTAGAATAAAATTCTTTTCATTTTTGTGGACTCAACCTGTCCCACATATCAACTAACTCTATCACTATATCGCATATCACATTAACTTCTCATGCTCTCCCAACTAGGAGCAAAAGAGTAAAACAAGAGGTGAAGGGAAAAGGGGACCCTTTAGGGTTAGGCAGGATGAATGGTGGCTAGCAAAGGAAACAGTGCAGGGATGAGGCGAGAAGAACTGCTGGTAGAGGGGCTGTCATCACCACCAAACAATTCCAACTAATAGCTCTGCTCTCTGAGTCACTCTGACGTTGTCACTAAATCACCAAGTTAAAAACACCACTCTAACGGTTTTCCCAGGAAACCTAAGGTAAAATCCCATTACAATGAATTCCTTGGGGCATTTTAATGTATTTGCACATGTATTTTTACCTATTTTCAGAGAATAAGACAAACACGTTTCTTATTACTACATGCATGACTCACATATGTAAACACAGCATACTTCTTATATACTGTGTTATCTAAAATAAAACCATTACTAATTCAAATCATCATTACAGATTTTTCAATTTCAAAACTTTTCACCAGGTCAGATAACTGTAGTTACACCTCCTCCATGTATCACTACATATATTAATGAAAAAGTACTTAGACACCACTTCATAATTTTAAAAAGCCCAAGGCAGAATTTCTTTCAAAAACATTTTTTACAATTAATTCTTGTCAAGTAAAATATTTACCTTAGCATAGCTAAAATAAAATTTTTAATTAGTGGAGAAAATAAAGTGTCAACATGTCACCTGCTCCCTCAGTTTCCTGCCACCAAATTTCCATACCTATTCTCTCCTATTAGAATAGACAGTGACCTTTTCAAAGTCAAGCTCTGCTATAATCCCTGCAAAGTCTTAATGTATTATTATGTTTTCTATTTTATTTTCAACCTCTCCATCTTTCCCATCAATTTTCAAATATTCAGGTTTCTCCCTCTCAATTCCACATCTCTCCTCTTTATAAAATATCCTCATCCTACACTTGTATTTCAATGAAACCTGTCCCCAACAAGGTCAATTCTGACTTCTTTGTCGCTATAAATCCAATAGATAGATATTTTCAGTCCTCATTTTGCTTGATATCTCTGCAACAAAGACTTCATGATACCCGTAATCTCACATCCACAACCCCTCATATCTTGGCCTTGCTATCTTCTTCTGTTCCTCCTCACGTCCTCCTTAGTCTTGACCCACTAAGGAGCTTGAGATCCCAATGCTTCCACTGTATGCTCAACTTCCTTCTAAGGCCCATCGCACTTGTGCCTACGTCAATCCAAGTCCTTCTTGATAGATTACATACTCTAGAAAACCAGGATTATATTGATTACATTATCTACGGTTCATCATGATACAGCCAATTCCAAAACAAAGTACTTGGCATATAATAAACACTCAGTAAATATATAACAGCCTGAATTATTTTTAGCCAATCATAAATAAGCTTTTCTCACTCTAACAGATGTATCACCACAAAATGAACTAAACTGGTGTTATATTTTTTCAGGACCTAGGCCTTGTTAGAAATTTGCAAATAGAGTCAACATACTAAAGCTATTTCTCTATTCATTTAATCTAAAAAGTATAAAGGACATAATGAAGTTTTTAATAGTGATAGTTCATCACTGTCAAAATGGATAAAACCAGAATATCACTGGTACTACCCAACTATGTATTTCCTAATCAAATAAAAAGTATGTTGCTTTAATACACATGATCCTAAAGAAAAAAATACCAGAAATATTTAAATAGCATCTCCAGGGGGGATATGTCTAGCCCTTATTCTATAACCAGCAGAGACTCATTATGTAAAAGTATATTAAAAGAAAAAATTTAATGTTTTGCTCTCATAATCCTTTTATTTTTCAGATACTAGCAATCAACATCTACAACATCAGTGCGACATGCTCACTGACTGCCAGAATTTCCATACGAGGGGCTATATTCTAGAATAAGTATGAATTTAATTCGAAACTAGTTTTGCTTGTCAAGCACACTATTTTACTTAGATTGTATGTTTATTTGCGATGGTTTTAGAGGAATGATGGAAATTACACCTGGGGATTACAGCCTCCCCAAGGTACTGTCGCCAGTAACACAAAACTTTCATTTTACGCAGACCAAAAATCCATTAATAAAGTTAGAACTAATAGCAAAGAATGCAGCAGCCATTTTTACATTGGAAATTTTACAAATAATTAAACAAAAGGTCTAACACATGAAATACATAATCACTTAAATATTACAAAGGTCACTACTATACATAAAGTGAAGTCACACTTAAATTTTCCAAAAGAATTCTTATCATGATGAGCCAAACACATGAACCACCTGGATATGACAAACACACTGCAATAACATTCTCAATATTTATAAGCTGGGCAAAGTTAAGGAGGAAGAATTCCCAAGAGATGCAATGAAGATGTTAATAGATGAACTTATTCTTCTCTACTACTCTATAAAAATGAAATCAATCAGATTGGAAAGAACATGAAAAAAAAGAGTTTCAATGAGGTGACACAAAGGGGCAAGATTAAAAAGTATCTAATCTTTCACACATTAAGAATTACTATTTACGATTTTATTGTACTACCTATTTATTAACAAGAATGCTAAACTAGAACATAGCACTTAATATTAATTCTCAATGTTTATTAACATTGTATGTTACACAACTCCTACATAAAAACTGACAATAGAGTCAGCTTTAAAAATTTTATATTACCTTACCTTATACAACTGTAATGTTTAAAAGTGCTGGCAGCTTTCTGACACTCCAGGCACAACTGAATAGCTCCTGGATAGTCTTCCTCCTTAAGATAACAACAACAGAAGTCACTAGACTGGAAAGATTTTTCTTAAAGCCCCTGAAAAAAACAAACCTCTGTTCATATTCTATCCAAAAGTTACAGAACTAGAAAATTTTAATTCCTCTTAAATAAGGATTGGAATACCAATGATAGACAAACAATAAAATATAAAGAGGCATCTAGCTCCGGGCCTAAAATATGTGCATATAAAAAATATCCTGTTCCCTCAAACACACAGTAATAGCCCTTTGAGACCATGATATGTGGATAACGCTTATATAGAATTATAAGTTGCTTCACAGGGAAGGTGTTCTTTAACTGTAAATATATCTTCTTTCAGTAATGTTTATATAAAATGTTCCAAAATAATATGCATTCTACTTGTAATCAACATTCAACAGTTCTACCACCAAGAAATCAATAAATATTTTTAAATAAGTAAATCCGGAAAAAAGTGGAATATTAATTAATAGTCTCGGAATATTTTTATCACCTAAACAGTAACTTAATGCCAAATGAATTTTTCATATGGATTTCTCAAACCCTAGTTTAGTGGTAATAGTTTGGAAGTAATACAGTGATTATACAGAAAACCATAAAAAATTTTTCCTTAACCTCATATCTAAATTCAACAAATGCAATTCAAACCACTGGGGATGCTGAGATGACAAAGTACCTACCCGAAGGAGCTTGAGTTATATGGGGAAACATGCATATTACATTAGGCTTTGGTGAACCGTATAACAGAAGTATACAGAGAATGCTAAGAAGCATCAAAGAGAAAACAGATGGCTCACTCAGAAAATCAATTAATATATGAGATACCAAAATAACTAACATATGACATATTCCTTAAATCACTACTATACGTTAGATGCAAAAGTTAATTTTATTGCTATTTGAGTGCAAATACAATCAAAAGATAAAGTTAACATTCTCACGTTGCTATAAAGTAAACATTCCCCTAAATAAGTTTTTCTAAATGGAGTATATTACGTCAATAGAAAAATGCTCTAGAGCAAGTATGTTTACATGTCTAAAAATGCTCTTTATACCATAAACCAATTTGAGGAAAATGCACAGCTGAAATTTTTTCACTATAATTTTTCTAGTTAATATTATTAGGATCACCAAATTTCCAAGCTTTGTTAACTTACCTCCAGCATTTCACTTAAGCGCACATCTGTTCTTTGCTGAAAAACAAAAATCAAAGGTAAAATCTGTTTCAACCATAAAATTAAGCTTTAATTTTTAAAAAGTAATCTGTGTATACCAATGTTTTTATAGTTCTCAGAGATTTCAGAAGTCCAATCAGCAACTGACGTTTCCTTTGATTTGCAAGAAGGCCTAAACTAGCTTGAGTGAAACCTTCCTTTGCAATATTCAAGTGTCTGCAAAAGTGAACAATAAATGGTTAAATTTTTCTAGTATAATAATACTATTCACACAGAACAATTAGGCAACTAATGAGGTAGTATCCTGGATTACTCTTATAATTGGGAATTGTGACTACTAATTGACAAATTTATTCAATGGCTCAGTCTAAACCAGCATTACTCAAAGCACGGTGGGTGGACTAGTGCCAATCCTCAGACTGTTCCTGGTCCACCACCAGAAAAGGACAGAAATGGAAAACACCATTTAAAAACACTTAGAGCAAAAGCTGACAGAATAATTTTATGCTTGATGAATCTAATAATAAAAAATTGGGACTGTATTTTGTATGTGTTTGGTTGGCCTTTTTTTTATTTCATTTTCCTAGTAATTTGTTTTTATTGCATTTTACAAAAATAATAGTCTGTAACAAGTTGGAAGTTAAAAAAGAAAAGAAAAAAACACTGGTCCTTCACCATAGACAGTTTGAGAAGCACTGATCTAATAAGCAATACAAAAACAGTAATATTTTTAAGCCATAACCAGATTTACAGACATTTCCCACATACCTTCTTCGTGTACTTTTTAGATCATAATATATGTTCCGTTAATGAATGATATTCTAGAAACCACAGCCATAATAAAAAATCAATTATCAATGATAGCTTCACAGCTTTTCTTGAAATGTTTTCCAGCTTAAAGACAAAATATCATCAAATGCAATACCTCCTCCCATTTGTGCAGATAACGGCAGCTAACTGAAGACCTGTCTGCAAAGACGTGACTCTTTCAAGTTCCTGTGGAAAGATTAGGTGTAGGTTACTGTTTGAGGCATGTAATTTTTCTCTCTTATTTGTATGGTACTCTAAACAAAATCTTGAGTGGGTTTCAAAGAAAAGCCTGCTTGGAAAACAAAGTAGCAACAAACATACCTGAACTTGAAAATTGTTGGTATTTTTTTCACAAAATTATTTTAAATAACTACTTTCAACTAATTTTCACAACGGCATGTGACAAAATATTTAGTCAGCATTGCTTGTAAGGAAATCTAGACCCAACCCGTTTTAGACAGATATAAACAAATACTAATAATATACCCGTTTAAATGTTTCTACCCAACAGAACTTCACAAGGTAATCAAGGATATGACAAACATGATTTGTTGGCTAAGAAGCTTTGACAATGAATGTCTTCTTTTGAACAGTTAGATATTTCAATGGCTTTTGAAGTCTCTGATTTTCTGATGAAAAGGCAGATTCAACTAGACAGTACCAATTTTATCACATTTTAAAGGCAGCCTGTTATATCACCATTGAGTGATCATTATTAATGATCTACAAGTTACCAAGAACATAGAAGCAATTTTCACTGGCCCTGCTAAAGTTTGGAAAACCAAATAGATTACTTCAAAATCAATATAAAAACTCCTTCACTTCTTCAATTTGGTAAATTCCCCTAAATGAGAGAAAAACACCCCCCCCCCAAAATAGAGTCAATATGATGCTACAGAACTAAAGACAAAAGAATAAATTAAAATATTTCAAGTTTCAAACATAAGTCACTCAAACATTTTCAATATTTTACTATTAAAAATAACAAATATTATCCTACCTTTACATAAGCAGGCTGTTTTTCAAGAATTAAATCGGCTACTTTTTTAGAGACCTATAAGAACATGCAAGCAAACAAAGGAAATAAAAGAAAAAGTCTCATGCTTCCTACTACATTTTACTTATAAAATTTTTGCAAAAATATTCCATAGGTCTTCCCAACAACTTCTACAGCAGAAATTGGCATGCTATGGCCACACACATTTCTCTGGCTATGAAATCAGTAAGGGAGTTAGAACACATAGCACAGTTCTTGGTCCTTAACAGAAACTCAATAAATGGTCATTATTACCGCTAATAATATGCGTATCACTATCTGATTTAACTAACGTGCACAGAAGTGTAACCACTTTTAAGGGTACAGGATTTGATTTAAAAAGATGAACTTGTTAAGATAAAGAAATGTTTAATCAAGTAAATTTATGGAAACAATATCTGGGAAATAGAGAACGTCCCTGCACCCTTTAGATCCTTTGTACCACTTAAGAAGACAAACAGTAATTTGGTCCTCTAATTCCGAAAAACTGAAAACAAGTGCTTTTTGGAGTGCTATGAAGATAGCTAAGGTTTTCTTGGTCAATACTGGTCAATACAATAACAATACTTGGTCAACATTGGTCAATACAATAAGTGTTTTTTTTTTAATGATTTATTGCAATTGCCTGTTTTCTTGTCTGTATTCTTTTTTTTTTTTTTTTTTGTGAGGAAGATCAGCCCTGAGCTAACATCCATGCCAATCCTCCTCTTCTTGCTGAGGAAGACTGTCCCTGAACTAACATCTATTGCCAATCTTCCTCCTTTTTTTTTTTCCCCAAAGCCCCAGTAGATAGTTGTATGTTACAGTTGCACATCCTTCTAGTTGCTGTATGTGGGACACGGCCTCAACATGGCCGGACAAGCGGTGCGTCGTGTGCACCCGGGATCCAAACCCAGGCCGCCAGTAGCGGAGCACACGCACTTAACCGCTAAGCCACGGGGCCGGGCCCCTACAATGAGTATTGTTAAAGTATGCAAGTTAGAATTATAATGATTTTGAACACAAGGCTACTATTTCACAATTTCAGCGGCCCCTGCCGGACTACACTACATAGGCACCACTTCTAGCATGAAGCCTGGCACACTGAAGCTGTTCAGTGAATATCTGCTCAAGAAACACAACTGGCTCCCCTTCCTCAGGCCTACTGAAAACAAAACATTACATGCACATTCAACTATGCATTAATCCTTTCATGTTTTCTTAATCTGCTTTGAATTTGTACAGATATGTATAGATGTGTACAGTTATGAACTTGTATAGATGTACACAGACAGAAACCCACCTAATTTTACCAAATTGGGTATTTTTTAAAAAATAAACGATTTAGTTACTGTTAGTCTGCACTGTGCCAGGCAGTGTACTAAGTGCTTTTCCTACATTACCTCAATTAGTACTCAGAACCATCTATTAAAATGGGTAACATGCTTCTTCATTTTCCAGATGAGTAATCTTAAACAAAGTAGTAACTCACCCACAATCCCACAGTTAGTAAGTTGCAAGGCCAGGATTCAAGACCAGGATTATCAAATTCCCAAGGTCACTATGCTACATGGCCCTTGTGATGGGGCTCACTTCCAAAAGAATACTACCACATAAAGTACACAGATGGAGGAGTACATATTTAAACATGCTGAAACCAAGGGAAGGCAAAAGACGCCAGCATTCACTGAAATCTCTCCAAAAGCACGACGTATTTTTACTTCACAACCCTCTAGTGCTCAACTCCCTTCCCCACACCACTGCTGCTACTCCCAGGGAGATCCCAGCACATGCTGAGACCTCCAGGTACAATACAAGAGAAAGAGAAGTGTATCTTCCTTTATTTATCAGATGTGTTATTAAAAATCATATCTTAAATTCAAATAGATAAATTTATTATTATTGCTTCTTTAGTATTAAAAAAAATTAACAGGACAACATACCACGATTATTTAATCTTAATATAGTCTGAGTTTTATAAAAGGAGTTCAGCCTAACACGAGGAAAATAAAGAATCACAGAATTTTACAGCATTAGAGAAAATGCAGGCTTAACCTATCACTTCACAGATAAAATAAAAGAGATTTAGCAAAGCTAACTGACTTGCCCAGTGTCGCACAATTAAAAATTGTGTGTGTAAATGTCACACAATTCAGACTTTCTGAATCTTAGCCCTGTATTCTCTTTGGACCTATTTCAACGACAAGTGGGGGCCTTTTTCTGAGATAAGAAAACTCCATCACAAAACTATGGGTAGAGAAGCAAATCTATCAAGGTAATGTGAGGGCAACTGAATAGGCATTAAATTTTAATATAAATGTATCATTTGAGTCAAAGTCATGTTAAATAATAAGATTTGTTTAATATGCTAATATATTAATTAAACCATAAAGATCTACAAAGATTACACCTCTGTGCTGTGTTTCATTTACAGTTTCGTCAGAAAAAAATGTATTTTTTACTTACTGCCGCTTGCTGTTGTTTCAACTTGTCTCTGTACTCCTCTAATTCTTGCAGATTGAGAACAGGAGGGAGCTTCTAAAAAAATTGATAAATGAAGAGTAAAAAATAAATTGTTTAATTTGGTCTCATTTATCTGCACACCTCTGATTTATGAACTACAATCTGTGCATACAAAACAGCATCACATCCCATTCCTGTCCATTCCTCCTGTCCTCCCCAGTTTCCCTACTAGACTCCAGACACAAGAGCCTACACATCTCTGTTACCCAACCCTCTCGTGCTCAAGTTCCATCCTTCACTCACCCCTACTCTCTCCACTCTTGCTGCCTCCAACCTCTAGGAAACTCCATGGCCCCCAGGCTGGGAGACACTGCTTCCAAGACCTTAAGAGAAGAATGTGAGCAAGTCTCTAACCCTAATCCTCTACTCTACCAGCAACAGGTACATCCCTACTTGTCTACGACAGAACCCAAAACATATTTCCCCTCTGAAATACTATGAATAGTAACTAAGCACTACAGTGTGATAGTGGCAGGTATTGGAGTACATTCTAGATTACACACTGGATTTCAGAGGATAGTATGGGGAACTAACAAACACGCATGCCATCGTGTAGACGGGAAACTCCAAGTTAAACTCCAAGTCTCAATAAATTAATTGATGAAACTTCAGAATGAGTTGGGGACTGACTGACTTTGTATGTACTGCATATAAAATGCATATGCATACAGCATTTGGTTTTATCTAAAACCAAATTTTACTATTCTTACTTTTTTTGCAGTTCCTATAAATTTAAAATGCCAATGTTGTAAATATTATGGCATAGGGGTATTTACCATGACTAAACAAGTATGTAAATATACATTCATGATTAAAAGTCTCAGAGCTTTTCTAAACATATTTAGCCAATATAAAATAAGATAGAGGTAGCATACTAACATACTGTATGCTAACAGTTAAAAACCAAAAATACAGAAATGTTTCCTGGACTCATATTCTACAGGTGCACTTAATTTTACATTTTTAAAAATAATTTCATCTTTAAACAATGCTGACAGTTCATTTAATCACAATATGGTCATCACAGACCAGTCTTGGTATCAAAATAATATAACACCCCTATAAAGCATTCAAATCTCACTTACAAATTCAATCACTGAACAAAATAGACTTTAGATAGGTTTCTAATGAAATTTTTTTTTTACCTCCAGCTCATATTTAACAATATCAAATGAGTCCGTAGAAAAATATACTTGTTCAATACTATTAATTAGTTCTTGTTCAGCTAGAGGGTCAGTAGGCTGTTCTCGAAGTTCTCGGAATTCCTCCTTTAAGAAAAAAATATCACAATTATAGTACTTGCAGTTGTTAGAATTCTATCTGCGTGGAAATAAACAATCACAGTCACAAATCTCCTAGGAACTATTCTGACCAAGGAGACAAACCGATAGAAAACAGGAAAGTTCATGGAAAATTAGGAAATAGTCAAACACTAAAAACTACTCACCTGTTGAGGAAAAAACTAGCCAGTTTGAAGATTCAGATTTTATTTTCAATTCCTTGTGTTTCAACGAGGAGTTGAGAGAACTTGGATGTTTAACAAAGGGAAAAAAAGTGACTACCTAATATATCTATCATACACACAATATTACATATGTACACATTTTTCATCATTTAACAACATTCTAAAATCTGTCTCACCAGAGACAACCAGGGAACAATATCTCAATGACTTTGGAGTCACAATAAGCATCGGAACCCTGAGCACCAGACATCCTTCCTTCTGCTGAAAATCTCACTGCTTGGCTAAGAAATATTGGGTCCAGGAAAGGTTTACAAGTTTAGCTCTGTAATTCTATGAGGCTTCCTTCAAAGTGTACTGATACTTCAATTAATGACCTGATTATGAACCTAAAGCTCTGTATGTGATAAAAAGCCTTCTTTCTAATGATAGAGAACGGGGCTTCGATGGATTTATACAACTAAAAAGAGCTTGACAGACAAACCTCTACCCCTAAAGTCAGCATCCTTATTCTATGCAATTTCACTGCATAATTGGATAAACCTTCAGTTAACTGGAAATTTCACTAATTCAGACACCCACTCTCTACCACACTAATTAATCAAGACATTATTATAGACATATAACAATTTCGTCATTCGATTTTTTTATTCAAATTAATCTCAAATACATTTAAGTAAAAAGAAACTAGTATTAAACCCATTTTACTGTCATTAAAATAATACTTAAAAATTTTTAATGAATCATCACTAATTAAATACACAAAAATTATATGGTCAATTAGAGGTCATTATTTTCCAAATAGAGATACTCTAGATTATTTTATTGCAGGGCATAGTTTTCATTTACTAAAAAAAGAGCCTAGCTTATATATCTTTTAGACTTTATAGTTTAAATTTATAAAATTATTAACTATAAAATTATTTTCTCTTAGTAGATTCAAGCTAAAAGAAAATATTAGAGCAATAAATCTGAAACTCCAGAGAACAGTTAACTGTTTAAAATTCCAATAAATTTAAAAGAGACAGTAAAGTCATATAAAAATCAAACCTGCATAATTAGAAGTGCACAGAAAAGAAAATGCCTCTTATGTACAAACTCAACTTACAAAATACACTAACAAAAAGAGGTCAAAGATACAGCCATCACCAACTTAGCACGCAATCAGATACTCTGAGTACAGTAAGAAATCCAGCATCCTAACAGTGGGAGCTGTATTCCTGTGGGGGTTTATTTACAACACACTAATCTGTGCAGCACCCTGGACAATGGTGCTGAGGAACAGACTTGGGTTAACCCTACACCACTTGAGGAAGGGTTCTCAACTAGCCTATCCACAGGCAACCTCCCTGCATCCCATGGAAATGTGAAATGACAGCGAGACATAAAATGGAAAAAGAGATCAGAAATTCCTAACAATCCCCTCCCTAAAAGTCCACAGGCATTTGAAATACCAGCTGAAGATGCTGCAAACTGAGGCGGGTAATAAGGCCCAAGTGAGGATACGGCAATATTGCCTCTGCAGGATTTCCATAGCACCACTAGCAAATGCATGTAGTTGGTACCATTCAGAAAAAAAAAGTAAAGATTATAAAAATTGCTAAGATAGAAAATCATAGATATGGAGCCAAGCCAAAAATTCAAACAGACTGCAATGACAAGCACTTTCATCTTACATGTATAAATGCCTATGGCATATAACTCTATGCTGAGGTTCTCCATACACTATCTAATTGATAGATCTAAAGGTAAGGGCACTTAGGTTTTAGCTGCAACCTTGCCATTAACCTTGGGCAACTTAGTTTCTCCATGCCTTGTTGTTTTTCACCTATAAAGGACATACACACACACACTCAATATGACAGTGAAACAAATATCCAAAGTTATTAAGACTGTCAAAAGGGAAAACTTGATTTCATTTATAAATATCTCACAAGTGTACGTTTCACAAATGTGAGGAATCTGTAAAAATAGTACAATCTGTATAGGTATTTAAAAGATCAAATGCCACTCCTTCCTAGAGAACTAAGCAATTATATCACAGACAGCAGACAAACCCATATAAATGCAAAGAACTATCATGTAACATTTGACGTTCTAAGTAGCCAGGACTAAGGAAAGGGATAAAGCCAAGAAAGGCAGAAAAAGAAACAGAGCACGCAAAGTAGAATTCAATCCAAAACAAATACCCAGCACTATATCCCTATAAAATATCCTCTCCCTTCAGATAACTTAGCGGCTCCTGTGTGAAAACATACATCTGAACTCATTCAGACAAACCCCCCTTCTGCCTAGAATCTCGATCACCGTGTTCCTTTTGACCTTACTGCATCTGTTGGCAGTAAGACTCTGCTTCTACCTAAATCATTCTCTAAATGTTTCATTGCTGTCAGTGCTGCCTGTTTAATCAGATTACGTTACTGTTTGAGAACTGAGATTTCTCCTTATTCTCCATCATTATGCTCCCCAGCACCAACATACATTGTAGATAATAATCACTGATCAAACTAAAGTTTACACAGTGAACTGTATTTAAAAAAGGAATATAAGAATAAAAAAAGGAAAAGTCAAAATTTTCCACAAACTCTTAATGAAAGGTTTCTTTCTTCTAACTAGAAATAACAATAAACGTTAAATGATTTTAGGGATATTTTATGCACGTAAATTAGAAAAATAAACAGAAACTGCCAGATTGCATATTCTTAACATAATTATGCGATAGTTTTGCCATTCTATAAACTGATTTCCTGGGATTGGAGATATACAAAAATACATAATTCTTCACCTAAAACAGAACCAATTTTGCAAGCCGATGAATATGTATGAGGCAAAATTTTACATAAACAAAATGAACAAAAGATTTCCTACAAAAAAATTTAAAAGGCAAAATTAGGGACTACAATAACAAATGAAACTCCTTATACCATGTTAAAATATGTGATTTTTTAAAAAAGTTACAATAATATTAGATACTAAACTAAGTTTGGGAATAAAATATTTCAGTCTTACAGACTGCTATTATATTATTATTAAAATTTTTTAAAGAATTTTATTTTTATAGTAAATTTTAGGTCACAAAGCAACTAATAAATATATATTATCATTAATAGTGGTATAAATGCTCTGTAAAACTTGAAAATCCAAAAATAATTTGTCAACAACTACAGACCATCAAATGTGCTACAACTTGCCTGCTGCTGGTAATCAACTACACCTAAAATAAAGAAAAAGTATATCAATGTCATCCCAGAATTAAAGCTGGAGAAAAACTACAATTAAAGTAACGATTAACTGTAAAGGGGATAAAAGCAAAGGTACAAATGGCAGAAAAGAACAAATCAACTGTCTCTCCCACACTCTCATTGGGAAATAACCTGCCTACTTTCAAAGGTCTATTACCTTACCTTTCCTGGTCAAATCATATATTTCAATTTAACAACTTTTTTTAGTTCCCACTATGTAAAAATTCTCCATAGTAGGTCATACAGAAACAAAGAGAACTAAAACGCAGCTCTTCCCTCAAATAGTTGCTAAAGTAAGAGGAGAGGTCAGATGAATAAACAATGGCAATGTGAGGCAGAACAAAAAGGACATAAAGACAAAACGAAGGGCATCAAAGGATAGTGAGTTCACATCTGATGGAACAGGTGGCATTTAGAGAACAGGAGAAGAGGGAAAATTTCAAATTTGAGAAATTGGGGGAATACAGTTACAAATCTAAAGCAAACCATAAGTAAAAACAGTGTAGTGGGAAAGCATACAGCAGATTAAGCAATAGAAGGTGGCTTTCCACAGGGTAGAAAAACATCATGGGGGAGAGTCTGCATGTACGCCAAGGGGCAATAAAATGCAACAATTTGAGATTTTTTTTAAATCCAATATATTTTTGTATATTCTAGAACCATATTTTGCCTTTACTAAAAATAAAATATGCCAGATGCTATATGAAAAAAGTAAGCATAAATATTCAATATCTTCTTAACATAATAAACCAAGCAGGATTACTTTAGGGAAGTGGTAGACGACAAAGAAGTTATTCAATATTTTAGAGGCTGTCTTTTCCAGCAGTCACAATCCTCTATAAGACTGCATATAACACTACCTAGCCTATTTTTCTATTTTGATCATCTCTGAGATAAAGCTACATGAACACACATACAAAAATGCACATCATAAATGTAACTTTATGAAAAATGAAAGAAAAAAACAATCGTAACAGAAATTTAAGTCAACATCTTTGATTTTAGCCAAGCCACTTTTCCTCTCAACATAACAACAAAAGGTTTTATGAGAACTAGGGATTCAAGTCTATTTATAGACTTGAATTGGACATATATAGACAATATAGACAATTGGAACCCACAAGTGTAAGGTGTTATAAAACATTTCCAGTATACTTATGGTTTCTAAGGAACTAGGCTATAACTTTACAAAGCAGTTTCCCACTTAAGAGTTCATCTCTGAAAGGACTGTATTCAAGTTTAGGAGAGAAAAAAAAAAGACTACAGATTTTACATTTAATCCCTATTTTCAAATTATACAAAATAGCACACTAATTAAAAATACCAAACTAAGTTCAAGATTTTCAATTCTATTCACTTTTGTAAGTATAAAAAGTTAGTTATGGGCCGGCCCCATGGCTTAGCGGTTAGGTGCACGTGCTCCGCTACTGGCGGCCCAGGTTCGGATCCTGGGCGCACACAACACACCGTTTCTCTGGCCATGCTGAGGCCGCGTCCCACATACAGCAACTAGAAGGATGTGCAACTATGACATACAACTATCTACTGGGGCTTTGGGAGAAAA